GGTGTCAAAATCAAATAACACTGGCTGTTTCCAAGACTTTTTTAACCCACGAACCATGACCAATTGAACGTGATTACTTGGCTGATAGACTACATCAGCCGAACTGTCATATTCGAAGCCAGCAGTTATCTTCATCTCGTCAAAAGACAACACACAAAGCTTCTCCACTTCAAGCATCTCGTCGTTCTCCATTAAGTCGATTACTATATCAAGAGTACCTGACATGATTGGCACGTCTGCAAGCCACCTATATAGTGTTGCCCTACTAGGCAGAGGAAATCCTTTCCTGTATAGGTGGCTATATGCTCGCGGCCCCGCGGTATGGATACAGATCGCAGCAGAAATATCCTTTGAATTAAAGGTGGTTTGCTTTCCTCCACTCTTTAATATTTTTATTTGAGTCTCGGTGAATATTTTGGCTAGAGACGTCTCCAACTCCTTGTATTCTTCTACTTGTTGGCGTAAACAACGATTTTCTTTCTCCATCTCACGAAGCCTTTTCCTTAGGCTCTGGTTTTCGACTCTGATTGTTGACCCTGGTATTTTGTCTCTATATACATACAGTGCCGTTCAACTGAATAGGTTTGAAAAATCGTTCTTACATTTTTCTCTTTCTAATTTTATTCTTCATTTATTTACTCATTATTTGCAAGAAAAAAGTAACGGGAAAAAGTCAACGGTTATTCGGAATTTTGCTTTGATCTTGAAATTCTGTAAATGCGCGCGCTTTTTTGGCTCATCTGATTACATAGGTTTGAAAGCTTTGACTTCACTTTGTATTTAGCTGCGGGATTGACTGCGGAAACGACTTGAATTCAATTGCATTACAAAATTGTTATCATTGTTCACAAATATTTTGTAAAATGGGCCGTGCAAAGCGGTTAACCGATTTTGAAAAAGGTCAAATAAAAGGCTATATTAATATCGGCTTAAAACATAATGAAATAGCTAAGAAAATCGGCCGAAGTCAAAACGTTGTGAGTACTTTTATTCGTAATGAAGCAGACTATGGAAAAAAAATGAAAGGCGGGAAAAAATACGCAACGACAGCATCAGAAAGGCGACTTATTCTGCGTACTGCATCAAACTTCCACCTACATATGTATCTGCGCGTAAAATAAAAGAACAATGCGGTGTAAATGCAAGTGTGGCAACGGTTAAGCGAATTTTTAGAAATGCAAAACATTTGAAGAGACTAAAAATAAAAAAAAACCACCTCTAAACGATGCTTGTAAGAGTGCACGACTTCAATTTGCAAAAGCGCACATGACGTGGAACAAGTAGTGGAAAACGGTGATCTTCTCCGACGAAAAGAAGTTCAACCTCGATGAACCTGATGGGTATAACTATTATTTCCACGATTTGAGAAAGGAAGAGTGCTTTTTAAGTCGTCATCACACGTGTCAAGGTGGAGTAATGGTGTGGGGAGCCATATCTTTTTATGGAACGTGCGAGCTGCAGTTTGTCACCTCAAAGATGAATGCAAATGACTACAAGAAAGTACTTCAAAACGCTTTGCCTCAGATTTCTGAGATTTATGGTCGTCTTCCATGGACGTACCAACATGACAACGCGCCCATCCATACCGCTCGGGTTGTAAAGCAATGGATTCAGTACCAAAACGTCAAGTTGCTCGATTGGCCGCCTTACTCCCCCGACATTAACATTATGAAAAACATGTGGGGACTTTTGTCCAGAAGAGTTTACGAAGATGGAAGACAATTTAGTGATTCTGGAGCTTTAGTTAAAGCAATTAAAGAAGGCTGGGCCACAATTACACTTAATGAAATTACAAAAAATTATGATTCATTACCAAACCGTATTTTTGAAGTAATAAAGGACGTGGGTGGGCATACCAAGTACTGAATAATTCTAAAACAATGTATTTTAATTTTTAAGTTAGGCAGTACCTTGAAATGTTCCTTAATTTGAATAAATTTAATAGTTTTAGTGATCAAACCTATTTAGTTGACCCAAAACAAATTTTTGCATTTGGCATTTTTTGTTATATTTTTGAAAAAATTAATAAAAATAATATAAAAACAAAACTAACAGAACAGAAACTTTGCTATTTTATAAAAGACAGATTTCTTTATACATCGAAACTTATTTCGAGAAAATCGGAGCTCTTGTTACAGAGTTACAACGATTCAAACCTTAACCAAATGTCAAACCTATTCAGTTGAGCGGCACTGTATTAAACATTTTAAATTAATTTTAAATTTAATTTTTACTTTTTATATAATTTTTTTTAAATTTTTATAATAGTCTTCTATTATATATGGTATATCTATGGTAAATATTCATATCTATCGTATAGTAAACTTACTATGTCTGGGTGCTGGAATCGGCGTAGCCTAATTTTGTTATGTCCAGTTCAGGCGTTCTCTGTGGAACAGCATCTTCGTTTAATCGCCTTTTCTTATATTGCTGACCTCTATTTGGCGTCAATTTCCATTGCGTGTCCCTGAAATGCGTTTCGCAAATTTTCGAGTAATCTCCAAGTTTGCACCCCAGAGATTCCTCTCATAACGCTCTTTTTTCGGGACATTTTGGCGACTTTATAAATTTCACGCCATCCACGTGTTTACGGCACACATTGCAAAATGTCATGTTGCACAAGGGTTAAATCAGAGAAAAATTCGTCCGCACCCAACCTTTCTCACTGAAAAACGAATACGCACTGAACCAAAACCCGAGCGTCTCGACAGCCGACATGATTAGTCATGATCGCGCTCCTTTCAGAGACTGAGAAATATAGCTGTAAAAGCATCGATAGTACTATCGATATTATCGATAGTGGCTGGGCTGTGCGATACCTCGATTTTTTTTCCACCATCGATGTATCGCGTTTATTTAACATCACTAGTTGCAAAAGCGTCGTTCCAGAAAAAACAAAAAATTTATGAAAAGTGAAAAATGGACAAGTTTTTGGCAACAAAAGCAGGTAAATCAATATAATTCATAAGTGTACGTATATGTATGTATGTCTTTAGTTTTTTGTTTAATAGATGACAACAACAACGACGTGAGTACAACGACTAGCCAAAGAAACCATTGGTGTCCGAGGTTTGGACGTTCTTTACACGTGGTACAGATGGGACTGCTAGGTGAAATATATGTTCAAAGTCGTATCGTACCAGCGGAAATACGTCTTATTTGAAAGACCATCACGAGGAAGCACCCGGAGCAAAAATCTTCAAAAATTCCCTTACCTAAAATAACTGCGTACTTTGAGAGCGCCAAGACGTATGAGGACGCATCAAAATGTAAGCATAGCATCGATATGGCAGTGGCAAAAATGATCGCCACTGACGTTGAGACCATTTCAATTGTTGAAAACGAGGGTTTTATCAACCTCCTTAAAATTTTTGATCCCAAATACAAAGTACCAAGTCGGTACCAGATTCGCGATATCTATCTGAAAAACATGCATTTAAGTATGATCGCAAAACTTCAAGACATCTTATGCAAGATAGAATACTGTGCAATCACGACTGACGGATGGACATCAAAAGCGAACACTAATTATTTGACAATAACCTGCCACTTCATTAGTGATTTTGAGCTGAAGTCGGTGGTTTTGTCAACCATGCCTCTTGTCAATGAATATAATCACACCGGACAAAATATTGCACACACTTTGGAGCTCGCGTTGAATGAATGACATATTTTTAACAAAGTGGTTGCTATAGTCACGGACAACGCAGCTATAAATGCGTGCAAACTTCTTAAGAAGCGTCATTTGGGATGTTTCGCTCAAACCCTAAATCTTGTTGTACAAGATGTTTTGTCCTCATCGCTTGTCAAGACGGCACTTGGTAAGTGCAAAGCAATTGTGACGTATTTTAAAAGTAGCGCCACTGCTTATGCCAAATTAAAGACGGCTCAAGGTGATAATCCATATAGCCTAATTCAAGAAGTGCCAACCCGCTGGAATAGCGCGTTCAATATGCTGAAAACATTTTTGCAACTGAAAAATGAAATCAGCTCAGATCAGTCGGAGCAGATGTTAAATGCAGATGAAATGAACCTGCTGACCGACATTTGCGAGCTTTTAAAAATTTTTGACGATGTCTCTACGCATTATGTCTCTGGCGATACAAAGGTGACAATTTCTTTAACAATACCGGTGGCGTGCGGATTGTACTTAAACCTAGAAAAAATTACAACCAAATTGCAAACCACAGAAGGACTTGAAGTCTGTGAATTATTAAAGAAAGGAGTTGAACCTCGATTGTTTAAGTTCGAGACAAGGGCGGTAACTAGAATTGCCACTATGTTGGATCCGAGATTTAAGAAGGAGGCCTTTAGAAGTCCTTTCAACGCCGCGGAGGCCATGAAGGCGTTAGAGGATGAGCTAACAATTTCTCGTAGAATCGAAGTAGACTCTACTTAGACTCTACTTATAGACTCTACTTAGTAGAGCAAGAAGAACAATCACAAAGAGAGGTCGACGGATTGTCCCTTATTGGGTACGTTCAAAAAAAATTTTAAACTAAAATCAAAAACAAGAGGGTGGACTCAATCTTGGCACTTAGGCAGTACGCAGAGAAGCCTAACTCTATGCAATCTCTGGATCCTCTTACGTATTGGAAGGTAATTAATAAAAACAATATTTTTCAAATTATATAAAATGTTTAAAAATTATATACAGTCGAATCCCGATAATTCGTACCCCGCTAAATCGAAAATCGTGATAATTCGTAAAAAATTCTGATTGAAAAAAAATTCCCCTTGAAAAAAACTCGTTAATTCGTAAAAATTCCATACATTTGGCGCAACGAAAAGAATATTGAACCTCTTATAAATCGTAATTTTGTTTCGTAACCTCTTATAAATCGTAATACGATGCGAAATTTTTTGTAGTTAAAGCACCGTTAGATTTTGCAGACAGCTATGCCGCCTTTATGTCGCTATGCAATATGAATTTTGTGTTTCTCTCAATGTTTTCGTTTAGTTTGCTGATTTTTTTCGGAGAGTAACAACGTTCTGTGAAAATGTCACAAAAACGTACGCATAAGACGTTATCAATCGCGCAAAAACAAAACATTATTCTCGCGATTGATAATGGAACAAAAAAAATTGATGTGGCAAAACAATTCGATGTCGCTCCATCAACAATAACATCAATTCTCCAGAAAAAAGAGTTTATAATGCAAGCATCATCTAGTAGTAAACTGAAACGACAGAAACATGCTGAATATCCGAATCAGTGTTGCCGTCAGGTCGTTACAAAAAAAGGCTAGATTGATTATAAAAAAAGGATAGAAAAGGACAAAAATTTAAAAAAAAAGGACAAAAAACAAGACAAAATATTTTTTCCATAAATTTTATGTAGTATCACTCTTTATTGGTGGCCAACTCGTTTAGAACATCGTCAATGTCGTCATTGTCGGCTTCTAAACTTTGAATTTCTGTAGATTGGTTGCTTCCAATCATTTTTAAATATTGCTCAGGAATTTCATATTCATGGCAACATACGCCTTTCCGGCGTAGCCCAAACCTAAGAAAGAAAAAAACAATTTAAATAAATTTGTGAAACACAAAAGTATTAAAATATTTACCTGATCGATAAAATCGCATTTAACGTTTCTATTTGCAGTCGGTTGCGCAATTTGGTTTTTACCAAATTAGCTTGGCTAAAAACACGCTCAACTTCTGCATTTGACCAGGGCAGCGACAGAAGTTGTAGAGCAAATGTTGCCAATTCCATAAATGGGTTATTGCCAGCCGAGTCCTTATAATTTCTCACCTCTGCCCAAAACGCAATTGTGGTATCAATATTAGTCCAATTAATAAAGTGTATTGTATTGTATTGCGATACAATTTTCTCGATACCATTGCTAGGTATTTTAAAAAATTCTAAAATTAAAACAATTGGATCTTTTTTTGCGCGAAAACCTTTTCGACCGTAAATGTTTCGATTTTTTTTAATATTTCAAAGTTATCAGGTAGCCTGAAAGTAAATAAAATTAAAATTAATTGACCGATTAAATAGTAAACTATAGATAAAAAATTATCTTACCTTTTCTTTAACTGGATGATAAGCTCTAGTACAAAGTCAGTACAATGCTGGCGGATAATATTCTCTGTCGTGTCATCAATTTTATGTTTAATCGTTTTTAAATGAGACTCAAACTCGTACCCCAAGTACAAATCCCGTTTCATGATTGGTTCAATTTCGTCATTAAAAATATTCACGTCGGCGTCAGAAGGAATTATTTTCACTTTCAACGTATTTATCCCAAGTATAAGGTCTCCTAGCAATTTAGTCGGATTGGAATTTTTTGACTGAAAGTTCTTGTTTATACGCTGCATATCATCGAGAATTGGTTTTAAGAATACCAAATATAAATAGTTGCTGTCGTTAAACAAATTGCTTAAAATTAAGGCTTTGTGGCATTTTTCTGTTAATGCAGTGGTATTAAAATGCATCTTCAGCTCAATCCACTGATTCAAAATACGCTTAACTGCATGCTCGATCGACAGCCACCTCGTATCGGAAACTCTTGGGATTTTAAGAGGAGCCTTAAGAAATAATTGTAAAAAAAATTGTTTAACTGAAAATTCATTTATTATATTACATATTATCTATATACTCTTCGACAAACACAAATACAAATCTTACATTTTAGTATATAATTAGTATAAAAAACGAAGACATTGTTTGATAATCTGTAATTAATATATTAAAAATGTTAAAACACATATATATATTCAAATTTTAGCTTTCACTATACCTCATCATTATTTATGGCTTGATACAGCTTGCGGTAAGCAATTTGCCTACAAGAGCTTTTGCAGAACCATGCGTATGTTTCGCTCACTATGAATTCCAGTGATTGTGGCAAAGCCTGCTTACAAGCAGCATTTACGGCCAATTGCACGGAATGGCATACACACTTAATCAAAACTAATGACGGCACCGACTTCTTCAATTCTACGTTCAAACTTTTCTTATTACCCACCATTACATTGGCATTATCAGTGCCAATTCCAATTAAATTGCCAATGGGAAGTTTGAGGATTTTTAATTTTTCCAGTAGGCTATTTGTAAGGCTTTGCGCGTCTCCACTTTCAATTGAAATTAAGCACAAAAATGTCGAAGTGATTTCCAATCGCTTTGCGCTGTAGAAAATTATAGCAACACCTAAAAATATTTAAATAAATGAATTTTGTTTAATTATATAAATATCGAATTGCCGTGATCTTACCGAGAACTTTAGTGGTGCTTATATCAGTCGATTCATCAACAAGCAGACTGTATTTTTCGTCTCCAATGTCATTCCTTAGGTCCTCATTGAAGTGGACTGCTAGAACGTTTTTAATTATATAGGTGCACTTGGTCCTATGCAACCTCAAATCTTTGGCGCCAAAATGACTACTGCATAATTTGCTGAGGTGGCCAACTGGATTTGTGGCAGCATGCTGTGCAACAAACATAGCCAGTGCCGCTTCTTGTTTACAAACTGCGTTTGTTGCTATCGGCTTAAAATTAATTTTATTTGCCTGGGCATAAGGCTGCGCATTTTGTATGTGCTTTTTTGTCACCATATGTGCACGGATTTGGTCAATTTTCGGGTTTATACTGCATTTGCAGTATTTACAGTACGCCTTTTCATTGTCTTTTTGGTCACGACACATCCACTGCATTAGATCCGGCTGATTTAGCCATGAATCACGAAACTTTTGCTTGTAAATTTCTTTTGGCATCTTTCCCGCACAAATTTCACAATAAAAGTAACAATTGTAGCACTGTATATCGATATATACGAGTACAACAGAGTTGCATTAATTTAAAAGTGCTGCTATCGATATAAAAGTAATGTAAATTTGGATTACTTTTCAGCATTTTACACAAAAATAAAAAACGGATAAAAAAGGCCAGACCAAATTAGAAAAAGGACAGATAAAAGGCTAGGGGATGTTTTAAATTTTTTCCGGCTGACGCAGTTAAAAACCGGACAGATCTGTCCGGAAAAAGGCTAAAACGGCAACACTGATCCGAATGTAGAAGTCTCTAATTTTGTGGATTACACAATGCCGTCAAAGTAATGTTCCCATTGGTGGAGAGTTATTGAAAGAAAAAGCGTTGTTTTTTGCCAAAGCTATGAACATAATGGATTTTAAGGCAAGCAGTGGTTGGCTGGATCGTTTTAAACACCGACACAATATCGCATTTAAAAAAATGTGCGGGGAAAGTTCTTCTGTTGATGATGACGTATGTTCTGAATGGAAGGAAAAGTTAAGTGATCTGATAAAAGATTACGAAGATAAGGACATTTTTAATGCAGATGAAACTGGGTTATTCTACAAATGTTTGCCAGATCGAACCTATTGTTTCAAAAATGAAAAATGTCATGGAGGTAAGCACAGTAAAGAAAGAGTGACCCTATTATTTGCAGTTAACATGGCACCGAAAAACTTAAGCCCCTACTAATCGGCAAGTCAGCAAAACCAAGGTGCTTTAAGAACATTTGCAGCATTCCATTGCATTATCGATACAACAAGAAGGCTTGGATGACAACAACCATATTTAATGAATGGCTTCAAATATTAAATGACACCATGGCAGCTAACAATCGGATGATATTGTTATTCATAGACAATTGTACGGCGCATAATGGCTACCCTCATCTAAGCCACATAAAAATTGAATTTTTGCCACCTAACACCACATCCAAGCTGCAACCCCTTGACATGGGTATTATAAAAGATTTTAAATCATTATACCGCAAGGAAATGGTAATTTATCTGGTGAATAGTATTGACGAAAAAACCAAGTTTAATTGCACAATTTTAACGGCTGTACAAATTGCTTATAAAGCTTGGAAAAATATTAGCATAACGTGCATTCAAAATTGCTTTCGTGCTTGTGGTTTCGGTAAAATAAATAACGATAATTTAATAAAAGACAGTCAAATAAACATTGATTATCGTTGGGCTACTATTTGTGATAGCTCTGAAAAATCGGGTTCTTTCGAGGATTACATTAATGTTGACAATGACGTTGCTGTATCCGGAATGCTGACAGATGACGACATTTTGGAAGAAGTTTTCCCAACAATTCTGAAAGTGATGAGGATGGTGACGCCGATGGAGAAGAAATTTTAACGAATTTACAAGCCAGAGCATTAATTCCTCAACTTCAAAATTATTTTTCGACCCATGATGTGCCAAATAGTGTCTTTCACAACCTAATAAAATTAGAAAACGCAATGGAAAAAATAAAAGAAAAAAACACCAAGCAATCAAAAATGACCAATTATTTTAAACCTTGAATTTTTTTATTTTATAATTTTATGTTTCTGCCGAATTGTTTAATTTTTTGTTATTATAATTTTATTTTATTGTTTAATTTTCCTTTAATTTAAAAAACGTACAAATGAATGTAAATACTTATAATTTTTGTTTAATTTTAATAAAGATAAAAACCCCGTTTATTCGACTCTTTCATTTTTTAGCCCCGTTAAATAGAAATCTCGATAAATCGAATTCCCGTCTAATTCGTAAAAAAAGTGATCCCCTTGCCATTTCGAATTATCGGGACTCGACTGTATGTATCCTTTTTTTTTATCTACAGACTCATTTCTTGGAATACCCAAGCTTGGCTAAAGTCGTCAAGCGGTACCTCTGCATCCCGGCTTCATCCAACGAATCGAAGAGGATGTTTAGTAGAGCCGGTCAAATTATATCGGATAGACAAACTTCTTTAAAGCCAAAACAAAAACACGCTCCTTATGCTTAACAGAAATCAGTGGCTGATCCAGCACCATTTTTTGTTTTAATTTCCAAAAAAGAGAAGTTTTCCAAAGAATGAATTATCTAAACTTGTTATTTTTTTTTTGTTATCAAACATTTTCTTTATTTATTTCGTAATCAAAAACAATTCCCGCGGAACGGGTGATCTCTCTTTTGTTAATTTCATTATAATTATTATTATCCTAACTAGTTCTTAACTTTAATTTATAATCATGTTTTCGCTTATAATTATAATCAATAAAAAAAAAACAAGTTAATGAAATGTGCTTGGTATTTCATTAATAGTTTTAATGCTCTCGATTTTAGCCTTAGAAGGCAAACGATAATGACTTATAACGACTTTTTAAAGCATACGAGAATTTTTAAGTTTTCTAACTTATGAATAAAAAAAAGTATATAAGTTATTATTATAGTCAAAATCATCAATATCATCAATCAATATAGTATTTATACCTCGCAATTAAAAAAATTGAAAGCAAATTCGCTTAAAATACAAAATAAAAAATTAAATAATAATTCTATTGATACTATCGAAAATATCGATGGTTTGGACTAACACTATCGAAAACATCGAGTAGGGGCACTATCGATGTTTTTACAGCTCTACTGAGAAACAGAAAACATTCAATGAGAATATGAGCGTCAGATGAACAAACGGTGAGCGTAAGAAAGAGAGTAATAACTTGCTCTGGGGCCTGTCGCAAGAAATTTTTGCGTCCACTTTCGTTGTATGAAGTGGGTTGTCTAAGGTCTGCGAAATAATTCACCTTATCACCATATAAAGTTGTCATTAAAACAAAATTCTCTATAATTTTCAATTAATTTTAATTTAAATGTGAAGTTACAAAATAACCTTATCAGATCCAGCTGTTTTCAACTTAAAAAAATTATAAGAACATTTTCTTAAAAATAATGCAATATATTTTAGAAAGAAATAAGTGAACTGATCGAATTAGAATAATGTTAATGAAGTAGTTTTTTTATTTTTTATTATCTTTATAAGCTAAATATGTCTTCCATTATTATTAATAACTTTTAATATGCGGTCTGGCATTGAATTCACCAAATTTTTAAGAAGTAACCCATCAGTTTTGTCCCATTCAGCTACAATACCTTTCTTTAAATCCTTTAAAGAGCCAAACTGCCGCCCATGCGCATAAACCTTGCTGGACAGGATTCCCCAAAGGTTTTCGATCGGGTTTAGATCAGGTCTTCTAGCATGCCAGCCCAATACTGGTATATTTCTTTCTTCAAAAAACTTTTTTGTGTATTTTAAAACATGGATGGCAGCATTATCCTACTGAAATGTCTAAGAATCCCCGTAAAATTTTTCACCAAAATTTTTCATTTTCTCTGCAAATTGCATGCGGGCAGTTTTGTTTCGTGGAAGAAGGTTGCATTTGGCACTTTATTATACCCTTGCAGAGGGTATTATAATTTTGGTCAAAATTGTGCAACGCAGTGAAGGAGACATCTCCGACCCTATAAAGTTTATATATTCTTGATCAGGATCACCTCCTGAGTTGATATGAGCATGTCCGTCTGTCCGTCTGTCTGTCTGTTTCTACGCAAACTAGTCTCTCAGTTTTAAAGCTATCGTCTTGAAACTTTGTACACACCCTTCTTTCCTTTGCACGCAGTATATAAGTCGGAACGGCCGGGATCGGTCGACTATATCCGATAGCTGCCATATAACTGATTGATCGGAAATGGTATAACTTTGGTGTTTTTAAAGTTAGAGAGTTCAAATTTGACATGAGAGTTACTTTTGGCAAAATAATACGACATTTCATAAGGATCGGCCGACTATATCCCATTGCTGCCATATAACTGAACGATCGGAAATAACCCAACTTTCGTGTTTTTGAATATAGAAAGCTGGAACTTAGTACAGATTATATTTTTGGTCAGTTAATCCGACCTACCAAATTTTATAACGACCGGCTTATCTTATAGCTGCCATATAATTGAACGATCGGAAATGGTTTTTGGTAGAAATACCAACTCTGGTATTTTTGAAATAGAAATTTGGGATTTTTTTTAGATTCTATATAATAATAACTTGAGTTATATTATCATATTCTCATAAGGATCGGCCAACTATATATGATGTTTGCGATATATATCCGGTTTTACCTGCAAGGGTATATCAACCTCGGCTCCGCCCGAAGTTAGCTTTCCTTTCTTGTTTTTTAACTTAAACGTTAGTTTTCATCAATTTTATTTTATTATTACATTATGTTATATTATATTTTATACAAAATTATTATATAGGAGTCATATAGAAAATTAAAATTTAATCCAAAACAACTAAAACTAAAAACAAGAAAGGAAAGCTAACTTCGGGTGGAGCCGAAGTTTACATACCCTTGCAGTTAAAACCGGATATATATCGCAAACATCGGATATAGTTGGCTGATCCTATGATTACATCATAATAAAACTAATTAACTAAAATAAAAAATCTAAAAAAAGTTCCAAACTTCTATCTTCAAAAATACGAAAGTTGATATTTCCAAGTACCATTTCCAAGTACCAAGTACCATTTCCGATCGTTCGATCGTGCCTACTCTAACGATGGAATGATTTTTAGGGGAGGGTGAAGACGGGTGAAGAATTAAATTACTTTTTAAAGTTATTATATATAAGGAAATATATATAAGGAAATTATTAAATTAACGACAATAATTTAATTAAATCTCACAATAACCCAAAATAATAACAAGTGCCTGAAAAATTGTAAACAAAAAAGGTAAACAAGTCCATCAGCTGTTTTCGTGTCTTCACCCTCCCCTAAAAATCATTCCATCGTTAGAGTAGGCATGCACAAGCCTCTTGCAGAACAACAAAAACTTAAAAGCAAACGGCGCTTTAAGGATGTAGTCTCATGTTCCAGCCTACTTTTTAGAGGTTATTTCAAAAAATTTTTTTTGTAATAAAAAATAATGCGATCGTTTCAATTTTCACATATGTTTTTATAAGCATCATAAACTATTTGAAAATATTTTGTTTAATTTATTCTTGTGTAGTTAAATACACTTTATAGCATGCCAAAGTATGCATATAAAAAAAAAGGTAGGTCCCTGGCGCAGGTGATTTCGACTGCTAGAGTCATCCGAAACAAAAAATTAGAATAGATTATTGTTTTGTAAGCTTATGGCTCTGTCCCGTACTAGAATGAAATATTTTCATCAATAAACAACAAAATGGCGAACTCACAAAACAAAATATTAAAACAAATTTTAAATTTTAATCTTAAATTAATGATAAAAAAAAAACTAATCATTAAAAATTAATGATTCTAGTACGGGACAGAGGTGTTACTTTTTAGAACAACATATCCAAATTTCAGCTAGATCGGTACCATAGAATTTTGTGAATCACCTGCGCCGCACACAAAAATGTCGTTCCGAGAAAAACGCGTTTAAAGTTTAGACGCTACCGAGAAACTCATACTTTTCGGTGTAGGCGCGCTCTCGATTATGGGCTGTATCTCTGTCATTATTTGATATTTTTATTTGAAACTTTAACAGTACATTCTTAATAAACAATACCTTCGAAATATTTGAAAAAAAAAAAATTGATTTTTTCAACCTCACACATGAGACTACATCCTTAAGTGACTCCGACCGAAATATACTCTGACACTTTCTCAGTATATTGATTTTTAATGATTCGTAAAAATATATATACAGAAAACATTTTACTACTAACACTTAATCTTATTCCTAAATAAATTAAAAATGTATGCTGAAATAATAAAAAAATATAATATAAAAAATAATATAATTTCTTTCGTCATTTCATCAAATAACGAATACCCGAATTTTGTTAGGGTAGCAAGCCTTAAAAGTAAGAAAAATCAAAATTTTGTGCGCTGGCTTCGAAACGAAATCGCACGCACACATACACCCATGTATGTGAATGTGTGACACGCATACATACAAAGATCAACCGAAGCGCAGGCCAACCTTCTTCATCGCGCTCCGTTTAGAGACTGAGAAACAGAAAACATTTATTGCGAGAATGAGCGTAAGATGAACGAACGATGAGCGTAAGAGAGCGTAAGAAATCCGCTCTGGGGCCTGCTGGGGCCTGTCGCAAGAAATTTTCGCGTCCATTTTCGTTGTATGAAATGGGTTGTCTATATGCTGTATGGTTAGTGCCTAAACATATATGTGTTTGCGGATACACTGGGGACACTGGGGACATAAATGGAAACAAATTGACCAAGGTGACAGTCCAGCAAGTAATTGGCCACTGCTTAAAGTCCGATGTGTCAGTGATGTTTAAAATTACAGAGAACCATAATAATGTCAGTTCCCTCGGAAAAAAAAGGTTAAATTGGCAAC